CTGAACCAGAACATGGGACAGTTTCCACGCTGCAGCTTGACCTCAGGTCCATCTGAAGGAGACACAGCACCCAGGGTCAGGGCGAACAGAAGGAGGAGCAGGATCATGTTGGCGTCTCTCTCTCTCTGTCACAGGAGCAGGACGATGGGTGGACGTGAGCTGGTTGGAGATGATCTGCACTGTTGGGTGAGAACGAGACTCTGATGGAGACAGGTGGGCAGGCTGCGTTCTTTTATACGCTTCAGAGAGGGAGTCTGCACTGTTGGTGTGARATCATTGGTCAAATSCAKTTGGCAAACACTTTGATTTGTACCAAGCTGCACAGAGCAAAGTGTTTTTTCTGAACACGGGCCAGTTCACCTGGACGCCACATCTTTTTTCACATGATTTTTCAGTTGAACTTTCTGACATCYTAAGAAGCGACTTCAGAAAAGACGACACGTGGACAGATACGTCACTTTGTGGTTGACATCTTCTCATTCACACCAGGTAAACAGCTGCCAAACACCAGTTGACACATCAACAATGTTACAAAGTCTTCAATGTGTCCTCTGTTGCATTGAGAACTTTGTTTTTTCCCCAAAATGCAAACTACATTATGAAAGAACCATTTTGATGGATTTCTACTTTACTCCTTCTAACTATTCTACAGATTTTACTGCTCTCTAGTTCTCACCCACCACTGACCACACACACACACACACACACTTTGTTCATGCCAGCTGGAATCAGCTTCGATGAGACTGAAGCAGCTGTGTACACATCCCAAAATAATCTGTCTTCCAGCAACTCTTTAAACTCTTTAATCCTTATTTATTATTTACAATTGAAGGGGGCTCCTCCTTACTTCCACCTCCTCTCTGAAGTCATCAGTAACAAGGGACAAAATTGATCCAGTCACTTTTATTCATCATATCAGAGCAAATTACGCAGCAGAGGTCATCAGTGTTTAAATTTCACATTCATGTCATGGCTGTGGTTTTTCTCACAGAGCCCTGAGTTTGAGATAGAGAAAGTAAGATCATGGAGGTTAGAACCATTCAACCTGTGTTACTACAACAAATCTAATTTTAACTTAAAATGTATGGATTCAAATCAAGTGTGTTTATTTGTCATTTATTTTAGCAATAGCATTGGAATTGCAACAGATTATTATGTTATGTGTTCATAGCAAAAGAAAATCATGACCACATCTGTCCACTTGTGGCTTTTTACTTAATTCAAGATAACATGTGGATGTGGGCCACTTCAGGCAATGATGCGGCACTTCTGGCCTTCTTGTGGGCCGGACAAAATCAATTTGAGCCTAAAAGGGCCCGAATATCCCAAAACAAATATGGGCCTTTTATTGGCAAACATGCGGTGCTCTGGGCGAGGTGTACTCTGGATGGGAACCTAAAGTGGCCCAAGTGGTAAATAGTGAACATGGCCCAAATAGCTCAAAACTAATATGGGCCACCTCTGGCCCCTTTGGTTCACATGCCGTACTGCTACGGCTTACATGTGGTCTACAGCAGGAGCTAACGGCCCAAGTGCCATCACCTAACACTGTATGTGGCCTGGATACCAGTGTGGCAGTGTGGGCCAAATCTGGGCCCAAACTATTTTTCTATGTGTATTATATTTGCACCTGGTTTGTAAATTAAATTTCTATGTAATTGAATCTTTGAAAAGCCGCCAGTGGACATCTGTATATATGGACACAGATCATCCACAGCATTAACAGGAGTTATCTGTTTTAATGCAGTTCCTTCAATCAACCACTGGGTTCATCAGAGTCTCCAACAGGTATGAAAAGTAAGTACAAACAAAGAAGTGTGCATTTGTATCTTTATTGCCGAGGACTATTTCATGTCAACAACAATCAGGTGATCAGTGATCAGGTTGAATCTGACGTAACAATCACTGAGGACACATTATGCGTGATGCACAAACAAAGGGAATATGGTCATAACAAGATCGATCATTCCATTTCTGGTCTGCGTGATAGTTGTTGTCAGCACAGCCTTCATTTCCGTAGTTGGTTGGCTCTCCTGCAGACCAAAGGTAAAATTTAGCCGCGCAACCATCAGACCACATCCATCTGCCTTGTTCGTGGAGGTCGCTGAGTCCGATCCAGGTGATTCCCTCAGAAGGGTCGAAGTTCTTGACCAGGTCTTTGACGAAATTCTGTTCCCCCAGACTGTGGATGGACACCAGGTTGGCTCCCTGTGACACACAGTTGAGCTCTGCTTGAGCCCAGGTCATTTGTGTGGCCACGTACTTGTAGCAGCGGTTGTTGTAGCTGAACCAGAACATGGGACAGTTTCCACGCTGCAGCTTGACCTCAGGTCCATCTGAAGGAGACACAGCACCCAGGGTCAGGGCGAACAGAAGGAG